TGTAGTCTCATCCACATTGCTAACCAGCCTACTCTTTTTCACAAAAAGCACAGTCACAGGGTCGTAGGTGAAACAGTCTTCTGTGGCCTCAGCTGAAACCAAGGGAGAACTCTTACCCATGAGCATGCAGAGACCTGAGCACCGATGACAGGGCTCCCAATAGTCAGTGAATTGTGAGACAACATAAAACAAGTCCTCAGATTCCAATGACCCTGACCTTGAGGCTTTAAAAAGTTCTTGGACATCAGGTGGTTCCTGTAACTGAGAGAATCACTGATTTGTTCCTGTGGGTATGGGGTGTTGCAGGTTAGCTCTACAGCTCAGGCATTTGTCAAGGACAGTGACATCACTGAGTCTATTTCCCCCAAATAGAACACAGAACAGGAAGACATGAGATTCTGCCCTGGACCTGAAATGGTCACCAGGCTCTTCTTCTGGGTGGCTCTTTGTCTCCTGTGGGCAGGTGAGTACAGGGGCGCTTCCTGCCCTAGATTCCCAAGACCTCAGCCCAAGCCTTCATCTTAGGATGACAACATCAGGTCTGTGGCTTCCTTACAGGAAACATGGATGCCGAAGTTACCCAGAGCCCAAGATACAAGGTTGCGGGGACAGACAAGAATGTGACACTGAGTTGTCACCAGACTAATAACCACAACGTTATGTACTGGTATCGCCAAGACCTGAACCATGAGCTGACGCTGATCTATTACTCAGTTGGTGCTGGGATCACTGCCAAAGGAGATGGTGCTGATGGGTACAGTGCCTCTAGATCAAATACAGAGAACTTTGCCCTCACACTGGAGTCAGCGACACCCTCCCAGACATCTGTGTACTTCTGTGCCAGCAGTGAATACACAGCATTGCAGGGCCACCTCCTCTCTGCACAAAAAGGCAGGGAGAGGCCCTGCACCCTGGACTTAGGGGAGCCCTAAACAAACTTCACACCATGGAGCCCCCAGTGGCCTGAGCCAGCAGGTTGAACCTCTGTGTGTGGTGAGGGCCACCTTCAGTGCAGTATCTGCCAGGTCTGCATCAGACCCAGGGCCTCAGACACACACTCCACACTGTTGCAGTCAGTCAGTCTGTCCTGTGTAGGTGAGCTGTTACATGGGAAAGTGCTTCCCCTGCTCTAGGTTTTCACCTCATCACACTAGTGTCTTAAAGGTCAATAAAGTGGAGTCCTCTTCCAGAAAGAAGCTATAGGAACCTATTGTTTACTGCATGGTGACCAAGAAGTACACAAGACTTTGCTATGAGCTGTAGAGAAATAAAAAGACATGGAGGTTAATGAACACAGTGAAGGCACTTGGTTGTGACCTACAGAAACAAAGGAGCTTCTGATTATAAGTGACAATATTTTTTCTTTCTTATTGTAGTTAAAAGAACGGGGCATCTCAGAATTGCTGGCATCTTAATTAATTAATTAATTAATTAGTATCAGGCAATCCTCAGGCTCAGTGATGTCACTATGGGAACTGCCTGTGCAGACAGGGAAGTCCCTCCTCCTCTGCTCATTCTCACAAGGACCCTGACCCGGTGAACCACCCATTCCTGTCCTGACCCTGCCATGGGCACCAGGCTCCTCTGCTGGGTGAGCCTCTGTCTCCTGGGGGCAGGTGAGTCCTCAGAAAACCAAACACTTTCATTGTGCGTGTGTAAGTGTGTGTGTGTGTGTGTGTGTGTGTGTGTGTGTGTGTGTGTGATGATTACAATTATTTGTCCTTATTCTATTTCCAAATCTGTCTCCACAGGTCACACAGATGCTGGAGTGTCCCAGTCTCCCAGGCACATAGTCACAGAGAAGGGACAGAATGTTACTCTCAGGTGTGATCCAATTTCTGGACATTCCTTCCTTTACTGGTACCGACAGATGTTGGGGCAGGGCCCGGAGTTTTTGCTTTACTTCCAAGACAAGGATGCCTCAGACACATCAGGGACGCCTAAAGAGCAGTTCTCTGCTGAGAGGCCTGATGGCTCCTACTCCACTCTGAAGATCCAGCGTGCAGAGCAGAGGGACTAGGCCATGTACCTCTGTGCCAGGAGCCTAACCACAGTGTGGCAGAGTCACCCTCTTCCTGCGCTCAAACCCTCATGCACTCACCTCTCCTCAGAGTTACCAAAGTCCTTAACAAATGAGTGGATTAAGTGCTTTGGGACATTAATTGCTTTTCTGATAGTGGGAGCTCAGGAAATGACCTTTGAAATGCAGTAGGTCACCTTGGTAATAACATTCTGGCTTGGATATCTGGGATCCCTTTAAACAGTTCAAGATACTACATTTGAGATTGAGCACCCAGGCTGAGTGTCAGGTATTGTGGAATCTTCTGTAACATATAAAATTTCAACGCATTTACAATAAACTCTCTGTACTGAGTGTCACTGACTCAGACCACATTAAGCTCTTGTGTGCGCAGCTAATGCAGAGCACTGTCAAAGCCCCATGCAGCCACCAGCCTTAAAATGTATAAATTAGAACCCTTAGTAAGAACTGTCATGAAATCAACTAACCAGGAGCACCTGTAACCCACATTAATGCCCGCTAATGTAAGCCCATAAATTATTTTAGTGTTTTCTCTGCAATTCTGCAGTCTTCTCTAATCTATTTTTAAAAAATATGATTTTATTGATTTTATAGAAAGAGGAAGGGAGAGGGAGAGAGAGAAATATTGATTGGAGAGAAATATCAATTGTCTCCCTCCAGCAAACCATCACACTATGGATTTAGCCCGTAACCCAAGCGTGTGCCAATGGAAGTGAACCGAGGACCTCTAGGTTCATGGATCGAGGCACAACCACTAGATACGCCAGGCAAGGTCTAATGTATTTTTACTAGAAATTTAAATTTAGGTTGGTTTAATAAAAGCCCTATTTGAGAAGGTTTTAAAGAAAATTGATTTAAAGAAGACCTGAATAACAGTTACCGTATTCCCCCCTTATACAGAAATTACCCGCAGTGGATGTCTGAAACCAATAATAGTACCAAACCCTACATATATGTTTTACCTTTGTGCGGAAGCAAACCTGGGGCCCTTCAGTATGCGGATCAATGCTCTATCCACTGAACCAAACCGGTTAGGCCTGTATGTTTTACCTTATACATGCACATCTTTTTACTTAAAAGAAGTACTTTATGACATCTCCTTCGCATGTCAGAATTACCAGCATAGTTACTCTTGTACTTTGGGTCACTATTAAGTGAAATAAGGGTGACTAGAACACAAGCACTGCAATGTTGCTGCAGTCAATGTGACAGCAGAGACAGCTATAAACTGGGTTTATAGACAGCTCTAACACCGGGTTGTGCACACAGCCTTGATACGCTAGAGAAAGGATGGCTCATGTCCCGCCTGGGGTGGAACGAGACAGCACAAGATTTCATCAGGCTATTCAGAGTGGTGCTCAAGTAAAAACTTGGGAATTGTTTATTTCTGGAACTGACCATTTAATAATTCTGAACAGAGCTTGACTACTGGTAACTGAAACTGGGGAAAGTGAAAGGACTACTGTATGTAAAAACAATAGCAAGACAGAGAGTAGATACATAGATAAATATCTTACCATTGTGAGGTATTCCTAATCTGTGTCCAGTGGTATAATATCACTTGAAGGTAGACTGTGTTAAGGCAGAGATATAAATTGCAAACCGTAGAGCCACCACTAAAATAACAAACACAGACTTATAACTAATAAGTCAGCAAAAAATAAAAAACCCAAAACCAAACCAAAACACACACACACACACACCCCAAAAACCAATAGACCAATATTTCTCAAGGACACAGATTAATAATTCCTTCAAAATTCCATTATATCAAATGCAATGACATCTAAAGAGGATATTTATCTCAGTAATATACAACCAGTTTTAAATTAAAAAATATGAAATATAGTTTAACCTCTCAAATATAAAAAAAGAAAAATCATATGATCATCTCTATAGATGTTAAAAAACACTTAAACAACCCAACATCTGTAACTGATAAAAACTCTTAGTAAATCAGAAGTAATTGGAAACTCCTTTCCCTAATCAAGGGCATTTATGAAAAAAAATCTTTAGTTGATAGACATTTTTGTAAGTAGACTATGATAAATTAAAGATGCAGGTTCTGATTCCTAGATCAAACATGTAAAGTAGCACCAAAAGGGGAGAAATAGTCATTTCAACACTGGTGCTGTAAAAACCATATCCGTATTGAAAATAATGAAACTCAATTCTTATCCCACTCCATAAACCAGGAGTGGGCAACATCTGCCTGCTTATTCTTATATGGCACAGAAGCTAACCAATGATGTTTACGTATGTGGTTGAAAAAATACAAATAAATAATATTTGCGACATAGGAAATTATATGAAATTCAGATTTCAGTATCCATACACCAGGTTTATTGGAGCACAGCCATGCTCACTGTGAGTGCAAGGTCTCTGGCTCTTTGACACTGCAGTGGCAGAGGTGGGGACCTGGGACAGAAAGCCAAAATCTTTACCATTTGACTCTTTACAGCAAAAGTTTGCTAATCTTGCCATAAAAAAAATGAATAAATATGAGATGGGTCAACATTCTCAATGATCTAGAAAGGTTCTAAAAGAAAGCAGAGCAAATTCTCTTCATGACCTTTCAGTAGGCAAAGATGTCTTTGAGAGGACAAGAAATATCTTTAAAAGCATATTTTTGTTTATTAAAAGTTTTAAAATCCTGATCAACAATATATATTAAGAAAATATACATGTATCTATGAAAAGTCATGTATTCAAAATATAAATAATTCCTACAAATTAATAATTTTATAAGATATGCAATTCAATTGTTTTTAAACAAGCAAATGAGTTCAATAGGGTGGTAAAAAAAAAAAAGAGAGAGAGAGAAAGATCTATAAGTAGGCAGCTCCCTCTTCAAAGAGGGTTAATTTCCAGCTGCTTAGATCTTTTTGGCTGGAAGAACCCCGCTTTAAGTCCATCCCAGGAATTACCTTTAGTTAAAGATAATGTTCCACCCTGCTGGTTTGGCTCAGGGGATAGAGCATTGACCTGCAGACTGAAGGGTCCCAGGTTCAATCTGGTCAAGGGCACATACCCACATACCGGGGTTGCGGGCTCTACCTCCAATAGGGGGCATGCAGGAAGCAGCCAGTCAATGATTCTCTCTCATCATTGATGTTGTTATGGGTTCACTCAGTGAGATAGACCACCGACTCAGAATTTAAATTTAAGAGGCTTTATTAAGCTGGCCAGCTGACTACAGTTACAGCACCCTGCCGAAGTAGTGGCGGAACTGCAGAGCTGACTGCAAGAGTTACATTTTATTATTAAATTCTGTGGAAGCCCAGAGACAAATGTGTCTTTCAAATTCTGGGGCCCCCCATATGGAGGAAACTCTCTTTATTTATACTTTTTCCAGTCCTTTGTCTCCCAAATTTGGAATGAGACTTCCGGGCCTTCTGAGAAAGAAGGCCTGCGTGCTGGGCAGGGGCCATGAGACCATATCTCAAGGCCTGGCCTGATGTCAGTACCTTCCTATCTATGTGTTTTAGGAACAGACAGCACAGCATGACCCGTCTGGCCAAAGAGCCAGATATGCAGCCCAGCACAATGTTTCTATCTCTCCCTCTCCCTTCCTCTTTCAGAAATCAATAAAAATATTTTTAAAAGAGAGAGAGAGAAGAGAGAATGTTTCCCCCAAGTTTCCGCTACTGCTTCCAAGAGCAGCTGCATGCATGGTGTCCTCTTCCCAGAACACTCATTGATGAGATTTGGAATTTGTGTTTCCTTCTTAGAAAAATGCACTATGCTTTTCTCAGTGCCACCTGCAAAGGGTGAGCTGAGTCAGGTAAACATCACATCAGCAGGAGCTTGCACTGTCCTGACTGGTCCTGACTCCTAATGCAGACAGAACCCAGCCAGGCTGGGCAGTGTCAACACTGTTATTGCACAAGTGGCCACTTGGGGGCACTATGGA